GCGGCCGCGGGGCCCAGGTGAGCGGCGTGGGGGCGGATAGCCCCTCCCTGCAGCATCCCCCACCTGCCCGAGCATCCCTCCCCCGCGCGCCGTGAGCACGGCCTGAGCCCCCAGGTCTCCCCGGCTGCAGGGGAGGCGGAGGGGCGAGCTCGGAATGAGCCCCCATCCCTCAACCCAGTCCAACCTCCGCGCCATGCGTGGGTCTTCCACCCAGGCCTTGTCCTCCCCAGGGCCCCTCCTTGGGAACGGTGACTAGACTGCAGGGAGAGAGAGGCCCGGCCTTGGAAGGGTTAAAGCCTGCCATCCCATCCCCAGCCTCGCGCGGGCAGCCGCGGGACACCCCTTCCACCGCCACCGCAGCCTTCTTCTCCCCGCCTTCCCCATTCAGTCGCGTAATGGCCAGGGCTGTTCCCCGGCCGGACTGACCCGGAGCTCACCAAGTGCTCAGCGCCTCCCCATCCCCGTGTCCTCCATTGAGGAAACAGTTCTGCTCACCATTTGACGGGGAGGGAAACTGAGGCACAGAGAGGCCAAGTTAACGATATGGATTAAAGATACAGCAAGAATAAAGCAGGACTTGAATTCAGTTCTGACTCCAGCACAGACACTTTGATTCGCTAAGATATGTGACCAGAGGATGAATGATAAGAGCCAGGATCATGTATTGAGGGCTTGCTGTATACTGGATACCATGTTCCCTGCATTGTTAACTCATTTCATCTTGAGACACCCCTAGGAAATGGGTACGATTATCATTACCATTTTACAGATGTACCAACTGAGGCCCAGAGAGGGGAAGTGACTTGGCTAAGGTCACACAGTGGTAGGTAGTCATGTGTCCACTACAGCTTTCCTTGGAAGAAGGGAAAAATAACAATGGATTTTGGAGTGTCCTCCAAAAGGGACAATCTCCACTACACTGACCAAGACCTAGATCCTGCCTTCCTAAAATCTGGTGGGTTGGCAACTGTCTGAATCTTTTGAGAAGGGGGACACTGATTTTCTCCCTGTTCTCTCCTTTCTTAGTCTTACAATCAGGCCTGGGGTTCCGGAAGGTGGAGGAGATGTATCTGATGTGTTGTTAAACTTCCTATGTACAATCTGGCAGTGTTCTAGAACATAGCTCTGGAGTCAGACAATATCTCAGTTAGCTATTGGCACAATAATGCTGTATAAGAAACCACCCCCGAACTCAGTGTCTTAAAACACTAAGCATTTATTTAGCATTGAGTGTGAGGTCATGACTTAGCTGGGCTCATCTGGGCTGATTCGCATGTTCAGATGGGGAGGGGGATGTTGACTCTTGGCTGCTCTAGCTGGCCGTGGCCTGAATGACTGGACCTTGGACCTGGACTAGCCTAGCTGTGTTTTTCTCATGGCTACAGTCACGAGCAAGCAGAAACATGCAAGGCCTCTGGAGTCCTAGGCTCAGAACTCACTGCACTGCCAGCTCATTCTGTTGGTCAAAGCAAGTCGTGTGGCCAAACCTAAAGTCAAGGGGTGGGACGTGTCCCCCTACCTGACTCTTCCACCCCTTCCCCCCCCTCACAGTAGGAGAACACTGAAGAGCTATGTGGCAAAGGGTGTGGCTATAAGGATGAAGAACTGGGCCGTTAATGCAATCATTGAATCACAGAGTCTATGTTTGAATCCTGGCTCCTCATTAGCTGTGTGACCTTGGGCAAGTGAATTAACCCCTCTGTGCCTCAATTTCCTCCTCTGTAAAATAGGCCTAATAATAGCCTATCTTTAGGGATCTAAATTTGTGGGAATTAAGATAATGTATATAAGTACTGAGCACAGTGCAAGTGCTCAAGAAATATTAATTTTTGTTATTACTGCATTATAGAGTTCTGTTGATAACAATGTTATCATTCTAACAATAATAACAGTGACAATTTGCCGAGCCCCTACCCTGTGCCAGGTGCTAAGTCAGGTATGAAGTGGTCTGAGTGAACATTATTGTCATTATTATCATGTCCACTTTGAAGACAGGAAAACTGAGGGCGAGAGAGGGGACAGGACTCACAGTCAGTGGCTGTTAGAATTGGGACCTCTGAGCTCAGGCCCTGTTTCCAGCCCTAACCTGCCTCTGCCGGTCCCCAGGCCTCACCTTCCCTGATGGCGCAGGTACCAGGGGAAGTGGACAACATGGAGGGCCTGCTGGCCCCTAACAACAACAACCCTGCAGCCCGCTGGGAGAGTCCGGATCGGGGCTGGGAGCGGGAGCAGCCTGCTGCCTCCACTGTAGCCGCCTCGCTCTTTGAGTGCTCCCGGATCAAGGCCTTGGCAGGTACCTGGAGGAGGGCTGGGGTGGGAGGAGGGTGTGGAGGGGGCAGCCGGGATGATGTCTGTGTATCTCAGTGCCTGAGAACCTTGATGGCCTGGAGGATGGGAGAGCGTTACAGACACCCAGAACTTGCATCTTGAGACCAGCACTGTCCAACAGAACTTTCCATGATGATGGAAAAATGTCCTCTATCTGTGGTGTCCAATATGCTAGTACTTGTGGCTGTGAGCACTCGAAATGTGGCCAGCGCTCCTTGAGGGACTGAATTTCTAGTTTTATTTAGTTTTAATTAATTTAAATGGAAATAGCCACATATAGCTTGCGGCTGCTGTATGGGGCAGGGCAGCCTAGAACCTTAGAAATGTACAATCCCAGAAATGTGGAACTTCATAAGCATACTTCCTCAGCATCCCAAAATGCTGAAACATCGGCTCTTCGGACCTTGGAATGTCAGACTCAGAGATTCTTCGAACCTGAGACTTTAGAAACGGAGATTCTTGGAAACATAGAACTTTATAATCGTAGGCCTTAGAAATTTTAATCATTGGCCCCTAGGATCTTAGACCCTTAGAAACCTAAACTCTAATACACATAAATTCTCAGGGCTTTATAATCCTAAAGCTTTAGAATTTCAGATAAGAAATGTGGATCCTGAGAACTTTAAGATAGAATGACCAAACCTTCCTGCTTTTGGCCCTGAAATCCTCAGTCTTGGGTCAGTGGGGATGGTTGGTCACCAGCTTGGATGTTTTAGAACAATATAAGCAAAACACAGAGAACTATGTAGTTATAGAATCTTAGAAGCTTAGACCTTTGGAATTGTAGACCCTTAAACCTTAAGACCTTAAACCTTAAACCTTTATATTGGTAGGGCTTAGCACCTCAGAAGCATTAAAACTTTATGAGCAAAGACCTAGAGAACCTTCAGAGATGTGTAACTTCATAATCATAAGCCTTACGCCTTTAAAAACATCAGACCCTTAGTACCTTTGATGCTTGGGGCCCTAACATCTCAGAAACGTGGAGTGTTATAAACTATAGATTGTTATAATCATGAAATCTTAAAACCCTAAAGTCAGAATCAATTCCTTCAAAATCTCAGGATTTTAGTAACTTGGCATTTGACAATCATGGGATCTTTGATACTAAGATTTTTGGAACTTTATTTTTTTTTATTTTTTATTTTTTAAATAATTTTATTTATTTATTTATTTTCCCCCAAAGCCCCAGTAGATAGTTGTATGTCATAGCTGCACATCCTTCTAGTTGGTGTATGTGGGACGTGGCCTCAGCATGGCCGGAGAAGCGGTGCGTCGGTGCGCACCCGGGATCCAAACCCGGGCCGCCAGTAGCGGAGCGCGTGCACTTAACCGCTAAGCCACGGGGCCGGCCCTGGAACTTTATAATTATAAGATGTCAAGTAGTTGTGTCAAACTCAAGGGCGTCTTGGGAAGCAGGTGACATAAATCAGTGAGTGGGCTGGGGGCCATGATCAACCGGAGAACAGAGCCCTGGTCACCAGCTCTAGCCATGGGGAAATGAGGGCCCAAAGTTGCGAGCTCTGATGCTCACCTGCAATTTCCCAATTAAAAAAAAATCTGTATGTGCCACAAACTATGAACCGGATTCAACCCTTGGATTGCCAGCTTCCTCTGATTTAGGAACCTAGAATGATATAAACATATACTCATGGAAAGTTAAAATTGTATTTTTAGACTCTTAGAGCCTTAAAAACTTGGAAATATATCAACTTAGAACTCTAGAATTTATTATTTCATCCACAAATATTTATTCAGTGCCTGCTCTGGCCCTGGCCTGTGCTGGACAATATGAGGGACATAACGGTGACTGAGCTGGCCCCGGTCCTGTCCCCGCAGGGCTCCCAGTCCAGTGGGAGAGTTAGATTCGGCCAGAGAGTGATGACCCAGAGGCGTCAGGGCCAGGCTGGGGGAGGCACAGGCAGAGGGCTGTGATGGGGAAGCCCAGGGGCTGTTGGAGGCCAGATGAGGTGCCTGATCCAGTCTAGAGAGTCAGAGGGCTTCCTGAAGGGGGAGATGCCTAAGCTGAGGCCTAAAGGATGAATAGGAGTGAACTCTGGGGTGGAGAGGGGAAGAATATTCCAGGTAGAGGGAACCGCGTATGCAAGACCTCCAGAAGTTGGGAGAGGCTTGAGTGAGGTGGTCAGTACTTGATGATGGGAGAGGAGCCAAAAGGAGCCAGATCTTAGAGGGCCTTGTTGGCCATGATGAAGGGCGTCAGGTCACTGGGGAGCTATGGTATGATTTTAAGCAGAGGTGGGATGTGGTAACGTGAAGATCAAGGACTCTTCAACTCGTGGAACCACTGTCTCAGAGAACATCAGCCCTGGACACCTCAGATGGCATCTTGAGTGCAGAGAAATGTAGGGATCCCCTTTAAGAAAAAAAATTCTCATACATTTCCCGTGTCTACTTAAATTATTATAACTATAGTTTTCTTAAATGCACACAAACACACAACTCTGTTTATATCTCTTATGTCTACAGTTCTCTGCAGCTAAAACGCATTGTATTGACTCCAGACCCAAACCACAAAGCCAGTAACGTTCAGCTTAACAGTAACTTCCGGATGCTGCTATGCTGCTAGAACGATGTTGCTGCTCAAAATGCTAATATGACGTAGACCACTAGGGTGCATTTTCTTTTGCATCCCTTTGCCCACTTCTCTCATGGTTTTTCCCTATTCCAACTAAGACCAAACCTTTGAGCAGAGTCCTCCATAACATGTTCTTGCATGAAGACATTTAAAAAAATTGTCTACGTTGTTACACCTGAAACTAATATAATGTTGTGTCAATTATACCTCAATAAAAAAAAAGTTAGGGGCCAGCCCCATGACATAGTGGTTAAGTCCACACACTGTGCTTCAGCGGTGGCCTGGGGTTCGTGGACCCGGATCCTGGGCGTGCACCTACATACAGCTCATCAAGCCATGCTGTGGCAGCGTCGCACATACAAAATAGTGGAAAATGGGCAAAGACGTTAGCTCAGTGACAGTCTTCCTCAAGCAAAAAGAGGAAGATTGGCAACAGATGTTAGCTCAGGGCCAATCTTCCTCACCAAAAAAAAAAAAAAAGTCACCTGAATCTCATGCTCAGAGAGTTCCCTTAATCACATTCCACAGTTTGTGGCTTGCTGTCATCATCAGTTTGTGTAAGGCCCCTCTCCTCTTTATCTGTTCTTTTTTCTCTTTTATTCCCATATCTCACACCAATGCCTTCTCCCCTATAGGCAACCATTCTGATAGTTTTAATGCAAATCTTTTCCTTTGCACGTGGATGACTTTGCAAAATGTGCATTGCTAATTAGCGTGCATGTATACCTATATTTTAACTCTTTATTAAAATGTTACATGCCTACAGAAAGGCAGATAAATCATGAGTGTCCAGCACTTCCACAAATGAGCACTCTCTTGTAACCAGGACCCAAATCAGGAAACAGAATATGAGCGCCCCAGAGAAGCCCTCCTTGGGCCGCCTCGCTCTCGCTACATCCCAGGTGGAAACACTCTCCTGACTTCTTTTTTTTTGAGGAAGATTGGCCCTGAGCTAACATCTGTTGCCAGTCTTTCTCTTTTTGCCTTTTTTCTCTCCAAGGCCCTGGTACATAGTTGTGTATCATAGTTGTAGAGTTGTAGCTCTTCTATATGGGAAGCCACCTCCGCATGGCTTGATGAGCCGTAAGTAGGTCTGCGCCCAGGATCCGAACAGGTGTACCCCCCGCCACCGAAGAGGAACTCACAAACTTAATCACTGCACCATTGGGCTGGCCCCCTCTCCTGACTTCTAACGCTGTAGATTCACGCTGCAAGTGTTTGAACTATATATGAATGGAATCATGCTGTGTGTCTCCTTTTGTGTCTGGCTGCTTTCACTCAACACTCTGCTTGTGAACTTCACCCCTATCTACCTGGGGTGTAGGCTGTTCCTTCTCATTGCTGTATAGTATTCCATGGTGTGAACATGCCATAGCTCATTCATTCACCTGTTGATGAACGTTTGGGTTGCTGCTGAATTAGGGCTACCCCAAACTAAACTGTTATAAACTCGGAATTACTAGTATTACACACAATTACAAACTAAACTATTACGAACTATTGCTGCTCTAAACTTTCTAGTACGTGTTTTTTTGTGGGCAGAAGCGCTCATTTCTAGTGCCTTCTACCGACTCAGGAGTGAAATTGTTGGACCATAGGGTAGGTGTATATCTACCTTTAGTAGAAACTTCCATTTTGCATCATTTCACATTCCCTCCAGCAGTGGATGAGTGATTCATTTGCTAGACATCCGACTCTTGGTATGGCCAGTCTTTTTCATTTTAGCCATTCTGGAGGGTGTGCATTCTGCTGTGGTTTTCATTTGCATTTTCCCAATGATTAATAACAACTAATGAGATGAACCACCTTTGCAGATGTTTATTGACTATTTCAATCTCCTCCTGTGAAGTGCCCATTCACATCTTTTGCCCATTTCCTATTAATTTTCCCACCTTTTTCCAGTTGTTTTGCAGGAGTTCTTGTATATTCTGGGTACCAGTCTTTGGTCAGACACATGTGTTGTGAATATTTTCTCCCACTGTGTGGCTTGTCTTTTCATCCTCTTAATGTTACCTTTTGATGAACAATATGTTTTAATTTAAATGTAATCTACTTTGATAATTATTTAATAATTATTTCCTGTATAGATAACACTTTGTGTCTTCTTTAAGAAATCTTTGCCTACTCTAAGATCATGGAGATATTCTTTGATATTTTCTTCTAAAAGCTTTAGTGTGTTTCTTTCACGTTGAGACTTCTAAGCCAAATGATATTTATCATATTTATTGTTGTGTACAGTGTGTGTCAGGGTTCATTTTTATCCCCCATGTGGATATCCAGTTGACTCACCTCCATTTATTGAAAAGACTCTCCTTTCCTTCCTGAACTGCAGTGTCACTTTGTCATAAATCTGGGAGCCTTATGTGTATGGGTTTGTGCATGCAGGTATTGCTGACTGACACAGGTTTTATCATGTTCTAGAGGGCATTTTTTGCGTTATTCAGCACTATGCCACTCATCCATGTAGCTCTGTTTCCATCTAATCTGTTGCTTCTAGCTGATGCATGGAACTGATGGTGTGCTTGGAATTCAAGGGTGCACTCACCTTTCCCAGTGATGGACACCAGCCTGTCTCCAACCCTGAATCTGCCCCCACCCACCCTCCCCCCCAAATAGCACTGCACTGAACATCTTCGTACATGCTTCTGTGAACCAGTATGAAAAAATTTTGGGGACATATACATAGAGGAAGAATTGCTGGGTCATGGGGGTATGCAGTAATTTAATTGGACTCACGTGGCTTTCAGAATGGCTGCCCCAGTCTATACCTCCCACCAGCAGGCATGAGGGTTACGATATTCCCACATTTCTACCAGTGCTTGGTATTCTCTAGCTTCCCAACTTTTCCCAGATCAGTAGCCAACAATATCATTTATATATCTCTATATCCTTTTATCCTTAACCAGTAATGGATAAAAGAATGGTTATTCCTCTGCTCTATGACTATCAATGTATTAAAGATAGGAATAAATGAAAGTCTTGTACTAAGGAAATGTATTTCACTTGTGATTGGCAGTTACCACAGTGGAGAAGAAGATATAAATGGTAAAATAACTCAATATGAGCACAATGGCAGAGGTAGGACAATTGTTATTTTTGGCTTGGAGTCTTGACAACCCAAAGGTGTCTGTGCCAGCTGGAGTCCTGGCAGGAAGCAGATAGCCCCTCCAAAGGGGTAAAATTGAGGAGAGTTTAATGAAGGGACTATTTACAGAGGTGTGAGCAGGGGTATGGGAACCTACCAGGGCAGTGGAGACCCCCAGGGACTGGGGTGGGGCAGGGAGTGGGGAGAGGGGAGAGAGGGGAGAGGAACCAGGCACTGCCAGAGGCTAGTCAGACAGGGAGAGAATAAATTCCTCAGTCCTTCCTCTCTCCTCTCATCTCATGCTAGCCAAACTCAACCGAAAGTCTGAGGCCTTTGAGAGCTGGGGAGCCCATTCATACAGTCCACACTGGCCAGCCTGCCTGGGCCCAGAGCAGGTGCAAAAGAGTGGAGGTGGCCCCAGAGGGGCAAATGAAAGACACCCCGCAGGGTAGCCAGACATGCTCACCAACACCGTCAACATTCAGTGTCACCTCATTGCAGAAGTGGCACTCGGAGACATTTGATTTCACCCCCACTGTGTTTTATAAAAGCATAAATCAGTTGCTAACATTTAAAAATAGGGATATTTTGTCTTTAAAAAAATCCAGATTTTTGGCTCCTCATGGAATATCACGTGATATGGCAACACTGGGCCTCCGTTCCTGGGAGGCCCCAGTCACAGGGGCTGTGTGGCCGCTGCCCCCTTTTAGGAGGGCCTAGTTCTCTACAGTTCAGAGCCTGCCTGGCCCCTGTGGGCATTTCAGTTCTGGACCCCAGCTCCCTGCTAACAGGGTTGTAATCACAAAACCCGAGATCTCGCGGCATAGTCCTTTGTGAAGTCGCCATCCAGATGGTCCAGGATGTGTTTCTATTAATTTTCTTTGGGGATCATCGAAATGAAATTACAAAATAAAAAATAATCTCATGGATCCCTGTCCTCCAAGCATGATACCCAGGGTCCCCCAGAACCCAAGGAAGAAACCCTGATGGAGCCCAAACCCCTCATATTGCAAATGAGAAAATAGAGGCCCAAAGAGAAGAGATGACCTCTCGAAGTGACACAGCTGGTCACCCATACAGGCAGGACTGAATCTAGTTGTCCTCATTTTGACACCACTATGGGGATGCACTGACGTCCCACTTTGTCTTCAGCATTGGCCAAAATCTGCTCTTGGGCCTGGGCATTGGCCGTTGGAAGGCGGAATAACCAAATCCCCAATTCTACGTCTTTTCTGTCATTACTTCCTCGTGTGTGATAGATGATCATGTGTTCACGCAGGTCCCCATCCCATCCAAACAACACAAAAACCACATGTAAACAAACAAGATATGTCATTTGGATTCACTGTTGGTTTCTGCATATTTACTTTCAAAATAGAGGTAAACATTCAAGATCTAATTTGAAGTAAAAAAAAATACAGGTCAGTGAGTGTATATTTTCTACTGCTAGAGTCAAATGGAGTATTTTATAATGTTACAAAAGGTAAATTTTATGAAAAAAGAAAGTATTGGGAGATTTCAAACGGCTAAGAAGGGAAATAGACTGGGAATACACATCTTGATTCCTGCACTGATAGGAAACTTAAAAGTGTGATTACTAAATTATTTAGTAATGAAATGCGAACAGTATCTGTACAGCCTAAGCTGCTGTAACAAAGAGACCCAACAATACAGTGGCTTAAAGGAGACAGAAACTTACTTCTCCCTCCTGGACAGTCCCTAGATGAGCAGCCTAGTTCGCAGGGAGGCTCCACGCTGAGTAGTTGGGGCGGATTCCGGGTTCTTTCTCCCATCCTGTGCTCTGTGGACCTTGGTGTTCAAGCTTGTGGGAGTCGGGGGAGGAGGGAAGAAGGCCAGGCAACAGCTTCCTTTTTTGGTAAAACTTTAAATTATGAAATAATTATAGATTCCCAGGGAGTTGCAAAGGTAGTACAGATAATAAAAAGACAAGTAACCCAATTAAAAAATGGGCAAAGGATTTGCATAGATATTTCTGCAAAGAAACAATATAAATGCCCAATAAGCATGTGACAAGATGCTGAACGTCATTAATCATTAGGGAAATGCAAATCAAAACCACAGTGAGATACCACTTCACACCCACTAGGATATCAAAAAACCGGAAAATAACAAGCGGTGGCGAGGATGTGGGGAAGCTGGAGCCCTCGTCTGTTGCTGGTGGGAATGTAAAATAATGTAGCCACTTTAGAAAACAGTCTGGCAGTTCCTCAAAAGGTTAAACATAGAGTTAGCATATGAGCCAGTCATTCCATTCCCAGGTATATACTTAAGATAATCGAAAACATGTGTCCACACAAAAACTTGTACCGGAATGTTCATAGCAGCATTTTTCATAATAGCCAAACAGTGGAAACAACCCAAATGTCCATCAATGGATGAATAGATAAGTAAAATATGGTATATCCATGCAATGGAATATTATTTGGTCATAAAAAGGAACACAGTACTGATATATGCCACACATGGATGAACCTTGAAAACATTATGCTAAGTGAAAGAATCCAGACACACAAAAGGCCATATATTGTATGATTCCATTTATATGAAATGTCCAGAATAGGTAAATCCATAGTGACAGAAAATACATTAATGGTTTCCTAGGGCGGAGAGAAGCGGGGAATGAGGAGGGACTGCTAATGGGTACAGGGTTTCTTTTTGGGGTGATGAAAATGTTCTGATATTAGATAGTGGTGATGGTCACACAACTCTGTGAGTATACTGAAAACCACTAAATTTACATTTTATTTTATTTTTGTGTGTGTGAGGAAGACCAGACTTGAGCTAACATCCAATGCCACTCCTCCTCTTTTTTGCTGAGGAAGATTGGCCCTGGGCTAACATCCGTGCCTATCTTCCTCTACTTTATATGGGATGCTGCCGCAGCATGGCTTAACAAGCGGTGCATCAGTGCGTGCCCGGGATCCAAACCGGCGAATCCCGGGCCACCGCAGCGGAGCGCACGCACTTAACCACTTGCGCCACTGAGCTGGCCCCTGAATTTACATTTTAAAAGGGTGACTTTCAAAGTATGTGAATTATAGCTCATACTAAAGGTTATTTTAAAGAAAGGTAGTGAAAGAGGTCCCAAACAATTTCTTTCTTTCTTTTGTTTTTTTTTTTTTTGGTGAGGAAGATTGGCCCTAAGCTAGCATGGGTTGCCAATCTTCCTCTTTTTTGCTGAGGAAGATTAGTCCTGAGCTAACATCCGTGCCCATCTTCCTCTATTTTGTATATGGGATGCTATCACAGCATGGCTTAATGAGCAGTGCATAGGTCAGTGTCCGGGATCCGAACCTGCGAACCCGGGGCCGCCGAAGTGGAGCGTGTGAGCTTAACCGCTACGCCACCAGGCTGGTCCCCCAATCTCTTTGTAAGCAAGTGAGGCAGAAGTTGCACACATTCTTCCTCTCCCTCTGGTAGTCACATGCCTACTCTTCACCCTAGGGATGTGGGAAATGCGGTGGCAGTCCAACTACTGCAGAGGGGGAGACATGGTTTCTGCGCTTAGGGAGCATTCAGTCTAGCATATTCCTTCCTCTTCATCCCCCACAGCCTGTCAGTTACCAGGTCTTACTTTTTCATCTCTAGATAACTCTCTAATATGTCCCCTTCTCCTGTGCCCACAGCTCTGCCCTCGTCCAGCCTGATCCTCCCTCTCTTGGGTCCCTTCCCCCAGTCTCCTCCCTGGGCTCCCAGCTGCCATTCTTGCCTGGTGATCCACGCTCTCCACAGCAGCCAGAGATATTCCTGAAACACAACTCTAATCCTGTCTCTCCTCCTCCTTAACCTTCCATGGCTCCCTAGTGTATTATTTGTGCCCCCACTAAACTGAACTCTGACGGAAGGGTTCTGCCTGTATTCAGAGCCTAGAACAGCGCAGGGCACACAGTAGGCGCTCAAATAACAGAGCAGACGAGGGTAGGAAACAGGGAAGGCTTCCTGAAGAAGTGGTGTCTCGGGGAAACTTGAAAGGCCTGGGAGGCTGTCTTCAGATGGGGAGCGGAGGGGAGTGGATGGCGTCCCAGGTAGAAGCCGCTTGCTTTGTAAAGACCTGATTGTTGCAGGGAGCTGGGCTGAACAGTGTTTGGCTGGGCGGTGGAGGTCTGGGGTGAAGCTGGAAGGGGGAGGTCGCGGGGTAGGCGGGGGCTCATCGGGGCCTCTCCTTCAGATGAGCGGGAGGCCGTGCAGAAGAAAACCTTCACCAAGTGGGTGAACTCGCACCTCGCCCGCGTCGGCTGCCACATCGGGGACCTCTATGCCGACCTCCGGGACGGCTTCGTGCTCACACGGCTCCTGGAAGTGCTGTCCGGGGAGCAGCTGGTGAGGGGGCCGGAGGGGCTGGGGGAAGCGGGTGGCCTTGGGGTCTCCAGCTGGGCAACCACCAGGGCCTGCCTAATGGCTGGGTGGAGCGTCCTAGGAGGGCGGGGTGCTAAGAGGCCCCTCCTTTCTGGTGGGCGAGGCTATGGCTCGGGGGTGGAGCTTGGTTGTGAGGATCCTGGCGCCGTGGCTTGGAACAGAAGTCAGATTCTGTTGAACTTGAGGGCCATGGTTCGGGACCGGACTCTGGACTTGGGTGGGGCTCTGTCGGAAGGGATGGGGCTCCAGAAGGCAGAGCTTTATTGGAAGGGACCGGCCTGGCTAGTGCGCTAGCAAGGGGCACGGCTTGAAAACAGGAGCAGAACTCTGTTGCAGGGGGTCTGTGGAAGAGGGTGCGGTTGTCATCGGAAGGGGGGGGCCTCGGTGGTGGAAGTCTGGGGGACCAGAAGGGACTCTTGTATGGGTGCGGCTTGTTGTATGGGTTGCAGTTGTATTTCTGGGCTTGGATGGGGCTTCATCGCAAAGGGTAGGATTCTGATGGAGCTAGGGATTCATTAAAGGATCAGAGCCTGGAACTCAGGAAGCCGTGAGGGGCATGGCTATAGAACAGGAACAAACGCCGTTGGAAGGAATAGAGCTATAAATAAGGGGAGATCCTGGGGTAGGGCGGGGGCTCGGTGGGAATGGGCGTGGCTCCAGGCAGGAGCCCGGGAAAGGGAGGCAGTGAGGGGTGTGGCCATGGAACTAGTGGCAAAACGTTGGTGGTCTGGGGTAGAGATCCAATGGAAGGGGTGGGACTATGGCTGCAGGTGGGGGGCGGGGCTTCGTGATAAGTGGTGTGGTTATCAGAGGTGGAGCTTCAGGGGAAGGGGCGGGGCCAGGAACTTGAAACCATGACAGGACTTGATTCTTGAAAAGGTCTGGCTCGGGGAAGGGGCGGGGCTTCTGTAGAAGGATTGGGGTCCTGGGTCTTTGGTAAGACTGAAGGGGCGTGGCCGTTCTTGGACATCCGGGGGCGTGGCTATGGGGCGGGCCTCTTTGGACGGGGTGGGGCCGAGGGCACCGTGCTCTTGGCCAGGCCCTGGGTCTCCCGGCACCCCTGCTGCCCTAGCCAAGGCCCACGCGCGGTCGCATGAGGATCCACTCGCTGGAAAACGTGGACAAGGCACTGCAGTTCCTGAAGGAGCAACGCGTGCACCTGGAGAACGTGGGCTCGCACGACATCGTGGACGGGAACCACCGCCTGACCCTGGGGCTGGTCTGGACCATCATCCTGCGGTTCCAGGTCAGCCCCAAGTGATCCCAGCCCAGCGCGCCCCCACAGTGGGGCCTTAGGGAGGGTGTCCTTCACCCACTCATTCATTCATTCACTCATTCATTCATTCATTCCAAAAATATCCCTAATATGTCCAGGAGCCCCGTTCCGGGTGGTGAGGATGAAAATGATTAAAATATTAATTATCGTTATCACCACCATCACTCTAATCATCATTTATATATTTTTTACTCTGTTCCAGTCACTGTTCTAAGCACTTGGCATTCAATACACACAATAAACCCATAAATTAGATACTATTTATTATCCCATTTTACCAATGAGGAAACTGAAGCCCAGAGAGGTGAAGTAATATGCTCAAGGTCACACAGCGGCATAGTGAGTTCAAATTCAAACTGGGAATTCACATCCAGGCAATCTTGCTCTAGTTCAGAAACAAAATAGACAAATTTTCTGTCTTTACAGAGCTTACATTGTAGTGGGATAGACAGACAATCAACAAATGCGTAAGTGCATAAGCAAGTCATATATGGGAAAAGGACCAATTCTAGGCAGAGAAGTAAAAAGAACAATGCAGGAAAAAAATAGATTATGATAAAGTAGTTAAAGAGATATAAAATATTAGGTTGATGGTGTTGAGGTTTTAGCCTTGGTGATCAGAGAAGGGCTTGGTCAGATCTGAGAAGCTGACGGCTGAATGACATATGAATGTGAAGGAAAAAGCATTCCAGGCAGCAGGCACAGCAGATGCAAAGGCCCTGAGGTGGGAATGAGCTTGGCATGTTGGAAGTCCAGAAAAACCAGTATGGCTAGAGGGTAGGAGGCAAGGGGGAGACAGGGAGGAGATGAGGTCATAGGGGTTGGCAGGGCCTAGGTGATCTGTGATTAGTGGTTTGGATTTTATTCTGTCTGAAATGGCGAGAGATTGGAGAGTTTTATCAAGAGGAGGGGCATAATCAGATTTAGAAGGATCCCTCTGGATTGAGGTGGTCGCCAAAATTGAAGGCCGGAAGCCCAGGGAAGAGATGGGAGCTGGACGGGGGTGGGGCATAGGGAGGTGAAGAGGGGGGCAGGTAGGAAAGACGCTCAGGAGGGGGAGTGGACACTCTATAGGGAAGGGGAGGGGGAGGCGGGGGTTCAGGCTGAGACTCAAGGCTATGGCCTGGGCACGGGGGGATGGTGGGCCCCCCTGAGACAGGGCCTGGAAGGAGGAGCAGATTTGGGGTAGACACTGAGGCCTGTTTGGGATGCAGTGATTATAAGGGCCAGGGTCATCAGGGGAGGCATTTAGAGTCCACTGGATCCTAGGAATGGAGCTCAAGGGAGGGGTGAGGGCTGAGACAGATATGGGCGTTGTCAGCACAGCATCCGGGAATGAGATGGTGGAGGTGTGAGATCATCCATGCATGAGGGGCTGGGACCTCCTGGGAACCAAGTTCTCCCCCTTGGAACCCAAATGCCAAACTCAGCTCTTGAGTACAGGACTCAAGTCTCGAACACCTGCCTGAGGCTCTCGAACCTGCTCAAGATTCTGGGCCCTTCAGAACTTTACCTACTAAGTGTGATACCGCAGAAAACAAAATAGATAAACATCCTGTGGTCCTGGGGCTTTCACAGGTTAGTGAGTGTGTTAGTCAGCTGGGGCTACTGTAACAAAATACCGCAGGCTGGGGGACTTCAACAAGAGAAACTTATTTTCTCACGGTTCTAGACTCTGGAAGTTCAAGATCAAGGTGTGGGCAGGTTTGTTTTCTCCTGAGGCCTCTCTCCTCAGCTTGCAGACCGCCCGTTCTCTGTGTGTCCTCACATGGTCTTTTCTCTGTGTGCACATCCCTAGAGTCTCTTCCTCTTCTTATAAGGACCCCAGTCCTCTTGGATTAGGGCCCTATCCTCATGACCTCATTTAACCTTAATTACCTCCTTAAAGGTCCTATCTCCAAATACAGTCACACTGGGGGTTAGAGCTTCAATTTATGAATTTTGGGGCGACACAGTTCAGTCCATAACAGGGGGAGATGGTAAACCAGATGAATAAATAAAACGTATAGGTGGTGATACATGATGGTAAGGCAGGGAGGGGGATGTGAAATTTGGGTGCACATATTGAGATGTAAAATCAAGTGGTTGGTGAGGGCCTCACTGAGAAGGTGACATGTGAGTAAAGACCTCAAGGAGGGGTGGAGCCATGTGGGCACCTGGGGGAAGGACGTCTCTGCAGAAGGAACAGCCAGTGCAAAGGCCCTGAGGTGGGAGGATGCTGGTGAGTTAGTGAAGAGGACTGTAGGTCTCTGGAGTGGAGTGAGCTGTTGAAGATGAAGTGAGACACGTAATGAGGGGTGATCGTGAGGACTTTTACCCTGAGTGAGACGGAGCCATGGAGCATGTTGAGGAAAGGAGGCACGTGATCTTATTTGGGGGTTCACAGCATCCCTCTCTCTGCCGGATGGAGAACAGACTGTGGGGGCAGGGCCAGGGAGACCAGCGTGGAGGCCACTGCACTAGCCCAGGCGGGAGATGATGGTGGCTTGGCTTGGATCAGGGAAGTGGCCCAGATGCCAAGGATGGAGGCTTCTCTGGAAACTGAGACCCTAATCTACAACTGCCTCCCCCCATTGTGGATGTCCTGGCTCACTCCAGAACCCATCCTCACACTCCTGAACCCCCACTCCCAGCCTGAAGCTGCCCCTCCCCATCTCCTCTGTCGCCTAACACCCTCCCTGGCAGCAGGATTGGGGGTGTCCCCCAGCCTCAAGCTCTCCGGGCCCAGCAGCCGTGTTTCGTATCCTCACAGATTCAGGTCATCAAAATCGAGACTGAGGACAACAGAGAGACGCGCTCCGCCAAGGACGCACTGCTTTTGTGGTGTCAGATGAAGACGGCTGGGTAAGGCCCCCAACCCCACAGCGAGGAGGCCCTAACCTTGGGGCTTCCTTCTGGGACAGGAGTGCAAGGGGCAGCCCAAGTCCTCAGTGTCAGAAGTCACATCTGAAGCTAACGAACTGGTAACTAAAATACGTCCACTCTTCCGATCTTGACGAATAAGCCTCTATGACAATCTGCAGGCCGGGTTCACATTTAGAACTTGGGCTCCTCAGAGAACGATGATGGAAAGGGATGGACTTTCCCCAGCCTGCTCCCTTCTCTCTCCTCATCTCATCCTGCCCCTCAAGAGGCCTCCTGTGCACCCGTGTGGACGACACAGCCCTATTCCCCAGCTCTGGCCACCCCGCCCCTGAAAGCAGCCACCCCTCAGCCTAGGAGGGCACTCACCAGGGCACGGGCAGCTTGGGTGGGAAGTTCAGGGTCCTGGTACCTTCACTGAGGTTGAGAAAGGGGGTCACAGGCTCTGCTGGGCGTGTCCCCTGGACCCCCAACTCTCCGCCTGCGGGGAGGGGTGTGGCCTCCAAGTGCCCTCTGGAGAGCAACCCCTGGGAGGAAGGAGGGAGGGGGCAGGTATGGACGGAGACTGAGCCTCCTCTGACTCTCATCCTTCTGGGGCTGTCTGTCTGTCTTCAATGCTGTCTGTTTTTCTATGTGTCTGTCTTTACCTCTCTGTCTGCTTTTCCTTGTTCCTGTCTCTCCCTCTCTTTCTCCTTCTCTCTCTTCTCTCTTCCCTCCTGTCTCTCTCCCTTCCTTTCTTTCCCCAACTCTGTCTGTATCTTGCTCTCTCTGTCCCCTCCTCCATCCTCCTCCTTTCCTTTTCTCCCTTCCTCCCTCTGCTTCTCTCATTTTTCTCTTCTCTTGTCTCTCTCTCTCTCGATCTCTCTCTCTGTGTCTCTCTTTCCATCTCCCTGGTTATCTATCTATCTACCTACCTACCTACCTACCTATCTACCTCTATCTGTCTCTATCATCTATCTGTCCATTCATCCATCCATCCATTCATCTATCATCTATCATCTGTCTGTCCATCCATCTTTCTCTGTCTGTCCCTCCCTTCCTCTCTCCCTTTCTCCTGACTCTCTCCACCTCTGTCTTTGTTTCTCCCTCCCACGCTGCCAGTTACCCTGAGGTAAACATCCAGAATTTCACCACCAGCTGGCGGGATGGCTTGGCCTTCAACGCCCTCATTCACCGGCACAGGTACCTCCTGGCCTGGGGCAGACCCACCCTGCCCTGCCCCCTACGCCACGTCCCTCAGGGACACACCTGTACACGTGTGTATGTAGGTGACACACACAGACACAAGGACCCATCCCTACACCTCTATGCACACATACACATTGCCCTTCACACACGTGCCCTTCACACTTACACACAGGTGCACATACCCACACAGACCCCTGCCCAGGCCACATACCCTGTGCACTCATGGACACCCGTGTGCCCTCACACAAATATGTGCACACACACAGATACTCATGTACATACAGCCTGCGCCTGCTGCTTAGATGCCCCCAGGGTCGGGGGCTCACTCCCCCATGGATGGCCCACTCTGGTGTGTGCACAGCCTCTCCTTGCATCAGAACGTCTTTCCTTAAGGCGAGCCCCCAGACCCCCCTTCTGACTCCCTGCACACCCCCCTAGTCATACCTCAGAGACTGGTGCTGAACTGGCTGAAGGTGGGCACCCAGACAAATTACACCCACATCATGATTGTCCACATGACAGATTGGGGAAACTGAGTCTTCAAGGCTGGGAGGGACTTGCTCTGGTGTGGCGGAAGCCAGAACCCCACTTCTTCTGCTGTGGACACGTGTTCACTCACCCCCCCTGCCGGTGACACATGCACACGAGGAGACCTAGCCCCACCTACACACCCAGAAACTCACAAGCTGTGACCGGGGTCGTTCTAACAATGGTAGCAGTTACTGAGTGCCTTCTGTGTAACCAGCATTGTTCTAATGCTTTCCAATAAGTCGTTTAATACTCAATGACCCCATGAGGCAGATGCTGTTATTATCCCCATTTTACAAATGAGGAAACTGAGGCACAGAGAGATGAAGTGGCTCACCCAGAGTGACAGCCGGAAATGGCCGAGAGGGGGTTTGAGCCCAGGCGGGCTGGCTCCTTGCATTTCTAACCGCTACACAGTACTGTATAGAAACACACCCAAGTAGATGTGCATGCATCGTTAAGTCAGTCAACGCGTGCCGTCACGCAGTACTCGCCCTCCTGGATAAATGCTGCACAGGGAGCGCACCGGCACACTGGGTGTGCCATCCCCTTGGCTGGGCCGTGCCCCTCTCGCCCTCGCCCCGGGTGGGGCTCAGACGAGGATGTTTTCTCGCCCATTTGCCCACCGGCTCTGGAGCCTGCCTGCTGCCTGCCTGCTCTGTGCCCCTGCCCAGGCCTGACCTCGTGGACTTCAGCAAGCTCACCAAGTCCAACGCCAACTACAACCTGCAGAGAGCCTTCCGCACGGCTGAGCAGCACCTGGGGCTGGCCCGGCTGCTGGACCCGGAGGGTGAGCCTTGCCTGGCCCCAGCCCCGACATCATCTTGGAGGCTCTCAGCCCCAGTGCCATCCCGAACTCAACTCCATCCTACTGCAGCACCGTCCCAAATCCCAAAGTCATTCTGAATCCCAACTCCCTCCCATCTTCCTCATCTCCAGTCCCTCCCCTTTCCACATCCCCGTGTCCCTTACTTTCACCATCTCCATTTCTAACCCCAGCCCCATCTCCATTCTTGTCTCTAAATTACGCCCCCCTTCTCCAACCCCATCCCCAGTCATCTCCCTGCAAACCCAATTCCCTTCTCTCCCCCTAATCCCAGCCCCAAAGCCAACGCCATCCTCAGCCCCATCTCCAACCCCATCCCGTCTCTAACCCCAACCCCATCCCCACCCGTCATTATCCCCATCCCCAATCCCATTTCCACCCCCATACCTATCCCCAGCCCAGCCCTGTGTCTATCCCCATCCACAACTCTGTCCTCAGCCTCAGCCCCTCTCCCATTTTCAGGCTGTCCCCAACCCCACCCCTGACTTCAGCCTCATTCCCAGCCCATGATCACGCCCCACACCAATCCCCCGCCTCTGGAATAGCCCTGGCTCCCTTTCTCTGAGTGCCTCCTCTGTGCCAAGCACATGGCTGGGAATTGTATGGAAACTGTTCCCTTTCATCCTCACACTGACCTGGTTGGATAGAATGTAGCAATCCTGTTTTAAAGTGATGGAAAGGAAGACTCAGAGATGTGAAGTCATTTGCCCAGGGTCGCACTGAAAACCACTCAACAGGACTTTCTGATTCCAGCATTCGTGGTCTTAGTCATTCCTCTCCCTCTCTCTTACAGCTGTGTTCTGTGCCCAGTGCCTGGCACGTGGTGGGTGTTTAGTGGATGTCAGTTTCATGAGGTGGGGAAGAATAAGGGCCCAGTATAACGCTGTGCATTCAGTGGGTAAATTAACATGATAATGGGAGTTTGTTGCATTTCTCCTCTGTCAGGCTGTTCTTTCTAATACGTACAGTGTTCTAGGTGGCAGGTTACTGTTACTGCTATAACACTGGGGAAACGGAAGCTCAGAGAAGTTAGGTCTATTTTCTAAGGACGCACAGTGAGTACGTGGGATTCAAGCTCATGCTTGCCCCAAACCCCATATCCTCCTATGCCATTCATACACCGAGTAGATATTTATTGAGCTCCTACTGTGTGCTGGGCATGGCGGGAACAATGGTAAAAAAAGGCAGGCACAGCCCTGGTCTTCATGAAGCTCAAACTCTAGATAAGGACATAATCACGTAAGTGAATATTTAATTACGAATTGTGATATGTTCGAGGAGGAAATGATAAGATGCTATGAGAATAACAGGAGGAGACCAACTCTAGACAGGGTGACCAGGGAGGCTTGTCTGAGGAAATTTAAGTTGAGTCCTGAAGGATGAGTGGGAGTTAGGCACACAGAAGAGGGAATAGTGTTGAAGACATTGAGAACAGCATGTGTGAAGGTCCTGAGGTGGAAAATAGAATGGTGTGTTCAAGAAAAAATTCGATGATTTCTCTATGGTGGTTCTTATATATCAGGCACTATTGAATCCCATGAGATCCCCATTTGGCCGATACAAAAACTGAGGAACAGAGAGGTTATTTATTTTTCCCAAGGTCACACAGATAGTAAGAGTGGGTTCTCCCTCTCTCTGCCCAATACCTTCAGTCCTGTCGGAGTGCTCACCACCATGCTCTCCCACTCTCCTTTACCCGCCAGATGTGAACATGGAGGCTCCAGATGAGAAGTCCATCATCACCTACGTGGTCTCTTTCTACCACTATTTCTCCAAGATGAAGGCTCTGGCTGTGGAGGGGAAGCGGATTGGGAAGGTATGAGGAGCCAAGGAGTGGGGTGGGTGGGAGCCTGGGAACCACGTGGGGGCATGTCTGGATGAGGCTGCCTCCACCCTCCTTTGCCGGGTCAGGTCCTGGACCAGGTGTTGGAGGTGGGGAAGATTATTGAGCGCTACGAGGAGCTGGCAGCCGAGCTGCTGGCCTGGATCCACCGTACCGTGGGCCTCATCAGCAACCAGAAGTTTGCCAACTCACTGAGCGGGGTGCAGCAGCAGCTTCAGGCCTTCACGGCCTATTGCACGCTGGAGAAGCCCGTCAAGTGAGGCCCGGCTCGGGAGGGAGGGTAGCAGGGGGAGGTGTGGAGGCGGGGTTCCTGAGCTCGAGCCCCCTCAGGTTTCAGGAGAAGGGGAACCTGGAGGTGCTGCTCTTCAGCATCCAGAGTAAACTGCGTGCCTGCAACCGTCGCCTCTTCGTGCCTCGGGAGGGCTGTGGCATCTGGGATATCGACAAGGTGAGCTTGAGGATGTGGGGGAGAGGCTGGGTTGCTCTGTGCAGTTGTGTAGGTTGTGCACTGCTCAAGGGAGCCTTTCATATTGTGTACCTCATGGAGTGGATATTCATTCTGACAGTTTTCCAGCAGTAAAGGGTCATGAGGAAGCAACATTTTTTTCCAATTTGCACGAAGGTGTGCAAGTGCTAGGAGGGGCCTCAGACGGAGAAGCCAGGATTATTAAACCGTGGGGGAGTTGTTGGAGTCTGACTACCTCCTCCTGTCTCCTTAGGCCTGGGGCCAGCTGGAGAAGGCAGAACATGAGCGAGAGGCTGCCCTACGGGCCGAGCTAATCCGGCAGGAGAAGCTGGAACTATTGGCCCAGAGGTTTGACCACAAGGTGGCTATGAGGGAGAGCTGGCTGAATGAGAACCAGCGCCTGGTCTCCCAGGTACGAGGCATAGGGCTTGGCTCCGGGGGAAAGGGAGGGAGGGCGGGGCTGATGGCCCTTGGGCCAGACAGGGAGACTGGATCTCCTAAGCAACAGACAAGTGTTGGATTAGTCTCCTAGGTGACAGATGAGGGTGGGGAGGAAGAATTGGTCTGCTGAGTGATGGATGGGGAGGGGAGTAGGCCTGGTCTCCAGGGTAACCAGTGAGGACACAATTAGTCTCTTCAGAAATAAGGAGAGTATATAATTAGACTCTTAAGTGACAGAGGAGGTTGTATCTGGTGTCCAGGGTAACTCAGGAGGATAGACTGGTCTCCTAAGTAACAGGATAGGGTAGGCCTGGTCCCAGTCTCTAGGGCAATGGAAGGATGGGGCTTTTTCCTGGGTGACAAGTTTACGGTTAGAGATGTAACAGGCAAGGGTGGGGCTGGTCTCCATGGTAACTAGGGATGGTGGGGCTGGTCTCCAGGGTAACTGGGAATGGTGGGACTGGTGTCCAGGGTAATGGGGAAGGGTAGGGCTGATCTCCAGGGTAACAGAGAAGGGTGGGGCTGATCTCCAGGGTAATGGGGAAGGGTGGGGCTGGTCTCCTGGGTAACAGGGAAGGGTGGAGTTGGTTTCCAGGGTAACTGGGGATGGTGGGACTGGTCTCCAGGGTAACAGGAAAGGGTGGGGCTGGTCTCCAGGGTAACTGGGGATGGTGGGACTGGTCTCCAGGGTAGCTAGGGAAGGGTGGGGCTGGTCTCCAGGGTAACTAGAGATGATGGGGCTGGTCTCCAGGGTAATAGGAAAGGGTGGGACTGGTCTCCAGGGTAACTGGGGATGGTGGGACTGGTCTCCAGGGTAACAGGGAAGGGTGGGGCTGGTCTCCTGGGTAACAGGGAAGGGTGGGGCTGGTCTCTAGGGTAACTGGGGATGGTGGGACTGGTCTCCAGGGTAACGGGGAGGGATGGGGCTGGTCTCCAGGGTAACAGGGGAGGATGGGCCTGATCTCCAGGGTAACAGGGCAGGTGAGGAAGTTTCCAGGGTCACACAGGGTCGAGGTAACAGGTGGACTGCCAAGGCAACGTGAGTGAGTGTCTGTGGCCTGCCCTGCCCCAGGACAACTTTGGGTACGAGCTGCCGGCAGTGGAGGCAGCCATGAAGAAGCACGAGGCAATCGAGGCGGACATCGCAGCCTATGAGGAGCGGGTCCAGGGCGTGGCGGAGCTGGCCCAGGCGTTGGCAGCTGAAGGCTACTATGATGTGCGGCGGGTAGCGGCCCAGCGTGACAGCGTCCTGCGCCAGTGGGCCCTGCTGACCGGGCTGGTAGGTGCCCGGCGGACCCGGCTGGAGCAGAACCTGGCCCTGCAGAAGGTCTTCCAGGAGATGGTGTACATGGTGGACTGGATGGAAGACATGCAGGTGGGCGCTGGACCGGGGGCCAAGGATGGGCGCAGTGTGCCGGGAGGGGAGCGGGGGATATAGACGCTGAAAGAGTTGTCAGAGACATGGAGAGGAAAGGGGAGAGAGACAGAAAGAGATAAAAAGAAAGTCAGGGAGACAAAGAGAGAGAGAAAGATACAGAGAGACAGAAAAAGAAAGTGTGAGAAAGAAACAGAGACAGAGAGAGAAACAGAGAGAGATAAAGCCAGAGAGAGTCAGGGACAGACAGAGACAGAGAGGTTATTCCAGAGGAAGATGGTGACAGTTTGAGAAAGAGAAATCAGAGAAAGAGAGAGCTAGAGAAGCAGACACAGAGTTAGTGATGACAATCTAAACGGCTACAGGGAAAGACACATAAGAAGATGGATCCATCTGAGAAAGAGAGAGACCCACCGGAGATAGATAGATACAGAGAGAGATGGAGATAAGAAGGATGGAAGCAGAGAGAGAGAGACAGGCACACAAAGAGACATGGAGAGGAGGAGATGGGGTAGAGATGGAGACAGAGAGAGAGATGGAGACACTGTGACAGAGCCAGAGCCCAGAAATGTGGAGACGGTGAGAGATGGAACATTCAGAGAGAGACAGATGGAGGGAGATGATGACAGAGACAAGGAGACTGAGACTGATGGAGATCAGAGTTCAAGTGATAGCCTAGAGGAGCAGAGGGCTGGCAGGGGCAGCGGGGGAGGGGGAGTGGCCTGAGGGCCTATTCCAAAGATCTGCTCAGTGCTGCCCCCTGCCGTAGGCTCAGCTGCTGTCCCGGGAGTGCGGGCAGCATCTGGTGGAGGCAGAAGACCTGTTGCAGAAGCACGGACTGCTGGAGGGGGACATCGCTGCCCAGAGTGAGCGGGTGGAGGCGCTCAATGCTGCTGCCCTGCGTTTCTCCCAGCTGCAGGGTGAGTCTGGGGTTGGGGATTGGGGTGGCGACTTTCAGGGCTGGTGCTAATAGAAGCAGAAGGACTCCTGAGGGACAGAACGAAGGAGTGAGCTCCCTGTCTTCGGAGGCATCCAAGCACAGACTAGGATCACACTCCATCAGGGCTATCATTGGGGGAATTAGCGCCTTGAGTGGGAGGTTGAACCACACGACTGCTTCCTGCTCTGAGAGTCTGTAGTAACAGTTCACATTTATTGAGCACTTGTTATGTGGTTAGTGCTGACAGCTGGATTTCAGTGAATATTATGAAAAGACTGTGTAAGCAGCAAGTGATAGAAACTCTGTGCAATTAGCTTAAGGAGGAAAGGGGAATGTATTGGCCGATGTAACTAAAACGTCCAGGGAGGGGTGAATTTGGCTTCAGGCAGGGCTGGATCCAGGCATGGTTCAATGATGCTTTTAAGACTCCGTCTCTCTCCTACTCAGGTCTCTATGTTGGTGTCACTGCTGGGCAGTGGTGTAAATCTGGGCCTCACATTTACATCCCAGCAGCTTAGCAGACCCAGCAGGAAGACAGGCCCCTTTTTCCCAATAGTTCTGACAAAAGGTCCAAGGAAAGCTTTCCTTGGTCCACGTGGGTTCCATCCCCATCGCTCAGCCAAGCACCGTGGCCCCAGGCTATACAGTGATCTAATTGGCCACATCTGTGTGACATGCCCACCCCAGGGCCAGAGTGGGGTCACCTCCCTCCAAAGAGATGGACTGAGAAAGAGGAGGGTGGGACGCCGTTACCGGAAGCAGAGGCATGGATACTGATGGGCACAACAACCCAGACTGGCTCTAAGAAGGTTCTCATCTTACTGATGTCAGTGCCCTCCAGCCCGAGACCACGAGGAACCCCCCTGCAGTCAAACCAAGTTGTGTTTGTGGGCTCTTTGCACACACCCTGGGGAAGCATGGGGCACCTCAGGAAGAGGGTGTTAGGAGGGGCTTGTTACGGGATGCGGGCTGGTGTTAGATGACTTGTGGATGATTTCGTGTGTGTTTGCTGTGGACTGGATGCTGTCAGGATGTGGGGGGTCATTAGATGATTGCACATCTTAATCATTTTTATCCAGGTGGTGGGAGGGATGGGAATTGGCAGCAGTCACTCCCCCTAGCTGGGCGAGGCAGATGGGTGACAGTTTTTGTGGACTGCACAGTGACCTTGTTTTTGTGTGTGCTCGGACGTGATTATGGAGCCGTCTCGTTTTGTCGCACTCCCTCACGGTGGCAGAGTGGCCTCGTCTGAAGTTGGTGTCCTGGGAAACTGTGTGCTCGCCGTGAGCGCTGCGAGCAGAGCTGCATGTTTCTTTCTCGCTGATAAAGAGACTGAGGCCCAGGGCTGCAGAGCTGATAAGAGGGTTTTGAGGCTGGTCTGTCTCACTCCTTTATCCGGAGGCATAGCCCTTTGGCATCCCGGAGCATTGTTCGAAAAGGAAGAGACTATCCGGCTTGCAGGATGGTGGGGAAATTTCTCACCCTCCTGGGCTGAGTCATGTCCTAAGAGCAAGTGTTGAGGTCTCCTTCCATCCCTGGTGTGGACATCCCCATCCTGGCGTAGCCCCTCTCACCCACATCACAACCTCAGGAGAGGCTGTTGAGACCCTTTCCTTTTCCTTAAGGATGTTTGTCCCAGGAGGGTCCCTCTGTCTTTTTTTTGTGAGATCTTGGTGCCTGGTGACAACCAGCAGCACCTCAGATACAGCAAAGAGGCCAGTGTGGGGTGTGTGTTGTCATGGTGACGGGAGGCAGCACTGCCTGATAAGTGGTCTCGAGTGTGGCCTCCTGATCTGCCATTTCTTAGCTCATCCTGGGCAAGCGGCTTCCCTCCCTGAACCTCAGTTTCTTCATCTGTAAGATGGGGCAAGTAAGGATACTGACCTCATAGGATGGCTGTGAGGATTAAATGGCATCGTGTCAGAGTAAGGGCTGGATACGTGGGCACTGTTGTAGATTATTCAGTTGGATGCCTTGGTATTTGGGTCAATTTCAGTGAGTGTCCAGAATTACAGAAATCCCGCATGCCATGTAGGGCAGTGTCTCTCACACCGTTTTGACCCAGTAAGAAGTAGATTTACCTCATGACCCAGAGTTCTCAGGCCCCCACACACACCCTGACACAAAGGTTTTATAAAACAAACTTTCCCCTTAGGTTGGGTGTTGCCTTCTGATATTTTCTATTCATTCTATTTTATTCCATTAAAGAAATGCTGGCCGCGACCCATTAAGTTAATTTCACAGTTCTCTAGTCACAAACTAGAAATCTAGGAGGAAGGTGAAATATTTGAAGAAAAAAGAGAGTTCTGGTCATCACTGGGGTTAACGGATAAGGCAACAGAGGATGAGAGAGGGAACCTAGAGACTTGGCTTAAGAGCAGAGCAGTTTCATTTGGTCCAGTTCTGAAGGAAACACAATTGACACTAAAATATACAGATTCTAGGATTCTAGAAATGTAGTAAAATGAGAATGACATTAGTCCCAACCTCCATTTCTATCCATTATTCAATCAATAAATCACCACTTTCACTAGGCTACTGCTCTGGGCTCCACCCTGTGCTAGGCAGTGGTGGGGACACGGTGCGACCGAGGCAGCCCCAGGCCCTGCCCTCATCGGGCTCCCAGGCCAGTGGGGGAGACAGAACTGGCAGTGACAGCCCAGAGAGGTCAGGGCTGGGATGAGGGAGTCGCAGGCAGAGTGGTCAGGGCCGGGGTGGGGGAAGCAGAGAAGTCTGGGAGAGCCAGAAACGGCGCCTGCTCCAGACTTGGGGTGTCAGGGAAGGCTGCCTGGAGGAGGGGACGCGTAACCTGGCACCTGATGAAATCGGGCGGAGGACTGGGCAGGTAGCCTGTACCACCCGCTCTTGGATGCACCCTGGACCGTGCCCAACCCGAGATCCTCCCCTTCTCCTGGCCCAGGCTACCAGCCCTGCGATCCGCAGGTCATCTGCAACCGCGTGAACCACGTGCACGGCTGCCTGGCGGAGCTGCAGGAGCAGGCGGCGCAGCGGCGCGCGGAGCTGGAGGCCTCGCGGAGCCTGTGGGCGCTGCTGCAGGAGCTGGAGGAGGCCGAGAGCTGGGCCCGCGACAAGGAGCGCCTCCTAGAGGCGGCGGCCGGCGGCGCGACGGGCGCGGCGGGCACGGCCGACGGTGCCCACGACCTGTCCAGCACCGCGCGCCTACTGGCGCAGCACAAGATCCTGCAGGGCGAGCTGGGCGGGCGGC